GATTTTATAGACCTCAATCATATCCCCCCCCCCCCCCACCATCATCTCTTTGCCAAGCTGAAAAGTCACAGTCTTATTAATCTCTCCTTATATGGAAACCATTCCATACCCCTAATCATTTTTGTTGCCCTTTTCTGAACCTTTTCCAATTCCAATATATCTTTTTTCAGATGAGGGGACCAAATCTGCATGTACTATTCAATATGTGGGTATACCATGGATTTTTATAGAGGCAATATGATATTTTCTGTCTTATTATCTATCCCTTTCTTAATAATTCCCAAAATTCTGTTTGCTTTTTTGACTGCTGCTGCACATTGAGTGGATATTTTCAGAGAACTGTCCACAATGACTTCAAGATCTCTTTCTTGAGTGATAACAGCTAATTTAAACCCCATCATTTTATATGTATAGTTGGGATTATATTTTCCAATGTGCATTACTTTGCATTTATCAGCATTGAATTTCATCTGCCATTTTGTTGCCCAGTCACCCAGTTTTGAGAGATCCTTTTGTAGCTCTTCACAGTCTGCCTGGGATGTAACTATCTTGAGTAGTTTAGTATCATCTGCAAATCTTGCCACCTCACTGTTTACCCCTCTTTCCAGATCATTTATGAATATGTTGACTAGGACTGGTCCCAGTACAAATCCCTGGAGGCCTCATCACATCTCATGGGGAGTACCACTATTTACCTCTCGCCATTCTGAAAAGTGACCATTTATTCCTAACCTTTGTTACCAATCCAGAGGACCTTCCCTCTTATCCCATTACTGATTACTTTGCTTAAGAGCCTTTGGTGAGGGACCTTGTCAAAGGCTTTCTGAAAAACTAAGTACACTATATCCACTGGATCCCTCTTGTCCACGTGCTTGTTGAACCCCTCAAAGAATTCTAGCAGATTGGTGAGGTATGTTTTCCCTTTACAAAAACCATGCTGACTCTTCCCCAACAAATTATGTTCATCTGTGTCTGACAATTTTGTTCTTGACTATAGTTTCAACCAGTTTGCCTGGTACTGAAGTCAGGCTTACCGGCCTGTAATTGCCGGGATCACCGCTGGAGCTCTTCTTAAAAATTGGCGTCACATTAGCTATCCTCCAGTCATTTGGTACAGAAGCTGGTTAAAATGATAGGTTACAGACTACAGTTAGTAGTTCTGCAATTTAACATTTGAGTTCCTTCAGAACTCTTGTGGGTGGGCTTTTTATTGTGTGTGTCGTGGGGGGCGGGTGCTGTTATGATTTAGCATTATGTTATTAACTTGGGTAAACATGTCTGCTTTGACAGAGGGCAGTGTTTATCCCCTGTATTATAAACATAGTTTTCCATATACACACCCACACACACCTCTACAAACACTAGTCCCAATGTCAGGGACTGAAATGAGGGAGATAGCAGTCTCACAATTCTGTGGCAGTAATATGCCTCTGGGGATCACTGGTTAGTCAGAGGAAGACTGGAACGTTAATTACATAATTTTGTGAAGCTGGGAGACCCACTGAAGTTGAGTTAGACATGCAAAGATAGTATGGGAATTGGGCAGGAGAGGAATGGGATTCTTTCAGCAGGGATTCAACCAATTTATCCTTGAAGAATCTCTAACCTTGAGCTCAAAGAACCTATAGAGAAGAGCTCCTACACATTTCAGCCTATCATTTCATTTTGACTGTATTGTTCCTAGCACGACTCACAAAATTGTAATATAATAGACAGGGTTGGATTTAGAGGCAGGTGACCCAGGCAACTGCCTGAGGTGCTGGACTTGGGGGGTGCCGGGCTCGGGGTGCTGTTTTTGTTGTCAGCAACAAAAGGGAAAATAGAATGGTTGAAGTAACATGTTTCAGGTATTCCCGTATGTGGATTCATTTTTCACAAACCTCCTAGAATGTTCTCGACCTTTGTAGAATGTTGTGGAACCTTCCAGACTTCTGAGAACTACATTTTCCTTAAACCTCCTAGAATGTTGTCAGCCAGGGCCTCGCGGGTGTATAAGGGGCAGGGCGTACCAGTCAGTCAGTGAGATATAAGAACGAACTGCTGTGAAGTAAGAGCCCATCGGTGAACCTTGCTTCATTGTGTAACTGTGAAAGCGTACTTGTGTTTTAAGGCCTGAAGAGTGTAAGTAGCAACTAATAAAGTACATATTTAATGAGACGCCAGAGATATCTATCGAACAAAAAGAAAGAAATACTGTTACACCTCTACCCCGATATAACGCAACCCGATATAACACAAATTCGGATATAACGCAGTAAAGCAGTGCTCGTGGGGGAGGGGGGGGCTGCGCACTCCAGTGGATCAAAGCAAGTTCAATATAACACGGTTTCACCTATAACGCGGTAAGATTTTTTGGCTCCGGAGGACAGCGTTATATCGAGGTAGAGGTGTACTTCTTTTGCCATACTTAACAAATAATGTTTGAGGACAGTTCAATATCTTGATATTAGTACATTTCAGTTATTTTTAAAATTAAAAAGTGTCTATAACCTTAGAGGAAACAAATTATTTTTATTTGCTTATATATGGCTTGAATAAAATACAGATTTACAGATCCTAGCATGCAAATTTATTGTCTTATATGACAGGGATAAATCATGCATGCAAATTATGCATCGAAGTTGTGAAATGAGCTACAAATGCAACAGAAAACAAGTTATTCAAAGTTTAACAAATGGGAGGTCACCTAAGATGCTCCTTGCCTGGGGCACCATTTGGTCCAGGGTCGGCCCTGATAATAGACTCTTTTAATGAGGTTACTGACCATAAATTTCTTTGTTTCCGTTGAGTCTGAAACCTAAAATTTGGTACATGCATCTTTTATGGACCACTTAATACAGGGAATGGGGTGAAGAGAGGCCACATTTGACCTGTGACATCAAGGTCTTATAGGATTTCAACCACTCAAGCAGGGCCGGCTCCAGGGTTTTTGCTGCCCCAAGCGGCACAAAAAAAAAAAAGCCGCAATCGTGATCTGCGGCAGCAATTCGGCGGGAGGTCCTTCGCTCCGAGTGGGAGTGAGGGACCGTCCGCCAAATTGCCGCCGAATAGCTGGACCTGCCGCCCCTCTCCGGAGCGGCCGCCCCAAGCACCTGCTTGGCAAGCTAGTGCCTGGAGCCAGCCCTGCACTCAAGACACTCAAAGAACAATTCATTTTGTTAAAGAGATTACCTTTCTTGCTTGACTGATCTGAATGAATACTTAAAAAAACAAAACAAAAAACAAAAGTTTATACTTTCTACTTGAAAGTGAGATAGATACAAGTCTCTTTCAAAGTAGCTTCCCAAATGCACCAGCACAATTATTGAGTATGGTGTTGAATTATCAACACATGACCATTCAATGACCTTGAAGTTGACTTCTGAGTCACATTTCTCAAAACAATGTGAAACAAAATGCAAGATGTGGGAAGTTTTTGGATCAGGAGAGTGATTAAAGAAAGAGTATTGCAACGCCTATACTGCTACAATGTCCAACTTCTTCTTTTTTGTTGTTATAATATAAAAGCAAACGTTGGTGCTTTTGAAGAACAGTGTATTGACTGCTCTGGCATGGGTAGTTCTAATTGCATGATAATATGCTTCCATGATATTCTAGAAGGACTGCTTCTAACAGTTCATTTTCCAAGCCAGCTGAGTGTTTCACCTCTACTGAGACTGTTGACAGCCCTTGTGGACTGTGGTAGGGACTATGATCCAAATACCAATTGAGCTAGGAAACGGGTTGAACATAAACGCCACACTCCAAAAAGGTCTGTGAATTGCTGTTTGAGAACATCTAGTCACTATTGATCTGACAGCGGATCTCCACCAATGACCTGGAGGTGGAGATCTCTATATTATTGATCCCCTGATGAGCCATGAAGTCATTCCTTCTATAACCAATATTTTCAATCCTAAAATATGATCCTGTGAATCGGCATGTCAAGCTGGAAAAGGTGAGATTTTAAAACCTGAATGGGATCAACTGAATACTTTAGTAAATCCTCCAAGCAGTTGAAGCAGTTCTGGTGTCCACAATTCAAGAAGAATATTGATAAATTGGAGAGAGAAGAGCCATAAGAATAATTAAAGGATAAGAAAACATACCTTATAGTGATAGACTCAAGGAGCTCAATCTATTTAGCTTAACAAAGAGAAGGTTAAGGGGCTATTTGATCATAGTCTATAAGTACCTACACAGGGAACAAATATTTAAAGGGTGGTCTCTTCATAGACTCTAGGACTGGAAGGAACCTCGAGAGGTCATCGAGTCCAGTCCCCTGCCCTCATGGCTAGCAGAGAAGCTTGTAACAAGATGCAATGGCTGGAAACTGAAGTTGGACAAATTCAGACTGGAAATAAGGACATAACAAAAACAGGGAGGGCAATTAACCATGGGAACAATTCACCAAGGGTTGTGGTGGGTTCTCCATCACTGACAATTTTTAAAATCAAGATTGGATGTTTTTATAAGAATTATTTGGGGAAGGTTCTATAGTCAGTGTTAATATAGAAGGCCAAACTAGATGATCACAAGGGTTCTTCTGGCCTTGGAATCTACAAATAATGCCAGTTTCAATGTGCATTGGGCCAAAAAAAAATGCTTTGGTTGCACCCATGCAACCCCTGCTGAAGTCTGTAGTATTGCACAAATGTAACTAGAGACAGATCATGTTCCACTATACTCAATTTACCCCAGAATCAAGGTTTATGAGTTGAGAGAGAGGGTCAACCTCAGGGCCAGATCAAAAGCTCCCAGACCAATCCATAGCACAGCAAATCATATTGAACTTTGAGCAACAGCTAAAGAGAGCCCTTTTTGCTTGGGAGTAGGTCCTGGAAGAAGATTTACAGAATGGGAGCCACACTTATAGCCCCACTCAGTACCTCATGAAATATTTCTACTAACTGGACTGCCAGTGAGATCTATGGATCAGTTCAGTCTTCTAAAGGGAGGGAGGGAGGGAGAGAGGAAGGAAGAGAAGCTTGAGAGTCCATGTCTCCCTGCCAAGCTCTCACAGCTTCATGAGTATTTTGGGTCCATTGGGATGCCTGGATGCAGCATAGCAGGACCTTCCGGAGAGTGCAGCGAGTGATCCAAAATAATCCAGTCCTACTGAAGAGCTTCCTACAGACCCTCAGACCCTGGGCTCCTGTACATAAAGACAGAAAGGAAAGATTGGGAACTTCTTTAAAGTCTTCAGTGCAAAAGAGGAGACTGAGAAGGAAAGGGAAGGTGTTCCTGCAGTTCTAGTCTCCAAAGGAGAGAATTGAAATGGGGCTAGGATGGGGGAGGGGAGAGAAGAAAGGAAGGGGGGGAAGTAGGATCTGTGAAAATGCCCTTCTGAATTTCCAACTTCTTCCCCCAAATGTCTTGCTTCATTCACCATGCGCCACAGCTGAGATGCCCAGCTCTGTCACCCCTCACATCTGGCAAAAGAGGAGGTGGACAGATGTCCCGATTTTATAGGGACAGTCCGGATATTTGGGGTTTTGTCTTATATAGGCGCCTATTACACCTCCCCTCCCACTCCCACACACAATTTTTCACACTTGCTGTCTGGTCACCCTACAAGAGACTCACTCACTAGGGAAGAGGGCTGAGGTGTTCACTGCACCAATCACTGGCCACTGCCAGGCAGGCTTCGCCAGGAGGAGTTGACATTCCCACACTCTACTTTTGCGAGTGTTACTCGTGAACTCTCCACAACTTGAGAGCTGCCGGGCCAGCCGCACCACCCTAGACCAGCCCTTCCCCAGGATGAGGAGGGGGGAAAAGGGCGGGACCCTTAATTACTAGACAGCAGCGGCTCAGGCTCCGAGAACGGGTCTATTTCCATTGCTTGAGCCCGGTGACGACACGTACAGAAACCCTCCCGTTTTGCAACTGGGTGCGGTCTCCGCCAGCAACAAACGGGGCTCGTCCCTTGTCAGCGCTGATTACCCCCACCCCCGGCTCCACTATCCCCGGGCGAGCGGGGTGTGTAGTATACCGAGATGGCCGCCGAGAGCAATGCACTGAGCGGGGGCCCTGGACTTTGCGCTACCCCTTCAGTGCAGCAGGAGCCACCCGCTTCCTGGATCAAACTTTGGGGGGCGGCCCCGGCTGCGCACAGCCCCACCCCACGCGGGTACCTCAATGTCCACCGGGTCCCGGCTGAGCATGCGAGCCATGGTGTTACCCTCGGGCGCAGGGCTCCCGACTGGGCAGAGCGGAGCAGAGCGGGGCAGGACTAGCGGCGGGCGAGCCCAGCACCGCCCCGGGGGCGGGCACCTACCTCCGCTGGCTGCAGCCGCTGCCTCTCCCTCGCCCCGGCGGCGGGCTCCTGGGCGGGTTTCCCAGCCGGGTCGCGGGCTAACGGGGCGAGCCGGAGGGGTGAGCCCGTAGCTGCGGGAGAGCATGGGGGAAGCAGCCCCTCTTCCGTATTGAGCAGTCAGCTCTTTAACGGAAACGAAGAGCGCCGCACAAGCGGCCCAAGCCAGGGCAGGGGACGCGGGGCACAGAATCCCCTTCTTGCAATCGCGGTGGTGTCCGCTCCCGCAGGGTCCTACACCTGCCTCTAACGAGCTAGGTTTGCTCGCTAGGAGTTCCCTGGGCCTCTAGTCCCGCAGCTACACGTGGGTTTATGTAAACAACCTTCGCCCGGGCTTATTCAGGCCGAATGAGGGCAGTTTTCCCTGCGAAAGAGCAAGAGAAACTTGCGGATAGGTGCTGTGTCTTGAAATGAGCGCACAAGGTGGGCGAGGTAGTGGCCCATCGTCAGTGGTATTACCTCACTCACCCTCTCTCACTATCCTGGAGACCCACAGGGCCACACCACCATTGCATGGAAACATGAAAGTGAGCACCCATTAGAAAGTTCCCTAGCAGCCAAAGGAGAGCCAATCCTGGCACCAGCCTTTAAGCAAACCTTCCCAATAAGCACAAAATGACCCACTAATATTGTCAAGATTTTTTTTCTGCATTTCATGAGAGCAGAAAGATGGGCAGCGTGACCAGTCTTTGCATTGGGCATGCAGTGGGGTGGAGGCTCCTTGCAACTCTGTGATTGGTGTTTGAGTGAAGCAATCTGCCCCTTGGTATATGAGCAAGTTTTATATCCATGCTGATAACTAGGCACCCTGTATTCATCAGAACTGCTCTTGATTTTATCTTTGGCTCTTTCAGGACAAAAGTTAAAGAGGATGAACTCTTCTCCCTTTGTAAAAAGCAAGTAAAAACAGTTTCTGGACATTGATAGCACCTCTGGGTCACTTATTTACCCCCTTCTCCCCATTTCTCTCCCTTGAAGGGCTGAGGGTTTGCCTTTTAGAGGGCAAAAAGGATTTCTCACTACACTGTTACTTTATTTCCTCCAACCCCTTGCATATGAAGAGTTTGAGATTTCCCATGTAGATTTAGTTTCTTGCCTGCCAGCTGCAGCAACAAGCTTCTGTTGCTTTTTAGTTCCTCTGTGTAGCTTACAGGTATATGCTAGATAAGGCACAGGCAGGGCCGGCTCCAGGCACCAGCTTGGCAAGCAGGTGCTTGGGGCGGCCACTCTGGAGAGGGGCGGCAGGTCCGGCAATTCGGCGGACGGTCCCTCACTCCCACTCGGAGCAAAGGATCTTCCGCCGAATTGCCGCTGCAGATCACGATTGCGGCTTTTTTTTTTTTTTTTGGCTGCTTGGGGCAGCCAAAACCCTGGAGCTATCAAACCTCAGTGTTAACTTAGAATTCTTAAGTAACTAATGCACAATCTATGGATCAGGCAACAGGTATCATGTTTGAACTGGGACCCCGAAGGGGTGACCCCCCAACCTGTGGCTTAAGCCCAGGACAGATTTAGCTTACCTTTGGTAAAAATCTAAGTTAAAATCCACATCTCTCTCTACAGTTTGGTGATTGTCACAAACACTAATACTCCAGAGTATGGGACTTCTTTTTCTATTCTGCTGTTCCCCGTTTCTCTTTCCTTTGCTTCTAGTATATTACTTCTGGGTTTTTAAAAAGAAAAAACAAACAAAAAACCAAACCACACAGCCCACCTTTGTAATAGATGGAGGGCTATAGTCTCCTGGAAGGAATAGTCTGTGGTCACACACTCTTCCCTCCCTCCCCCCATGGAGGAGCGCTCAAGATCTTCAGCTTTGGACTTGCTTGGCATGCCAGAGACAGGATAGGACCCTTTTGGCTCACCACCTGTCTTCCCACCTCTAGGTCTCAATAGGAATTGTTAATGTGAGAGCCTGCACATGAGATGATATGGGACATCAGCCTCTCTGCACTCTAGTTACATTCTCATTTGTTGTTACTGACTAGTCATTTGACTTCAGCATCTCACAAGAAGGGGATTCCATGCAGTTTGGGGGTATATACACACACATAAAGGGGGGCCTAATAAATTGAACTGATTGAGAATAAGTAAACGGTACCTAAAATTGAATAACCAGTAGCATCAGGACCCAGTAACCCAAAGTTTGCAGTGGTGGGAAGCCGATTTTATTTTAGGCCCCAGTAATTTAGAATCTGTCCAGATCTGTGAGTAGACTGGCACAGTTTAGCAAAAGTCCCAGAGCTCTTCCAGATTGTAACCCTGAGCCATCCATCATGAAGAAACCATGCAAAGTGTCACAGCACCTGGTAGGTCCCAACAAGGTAAATAGCCCCTGTGCTACTAGACCGCATGCTAGCTGACAAGGGAAGAGAGGAAGCAATCCCCAAACCCTCTGCCGTTTAACTCAGGATATATGCCCCCGTCTAATAGAGACGGAGCCAGCTTAGCCTTTGGTAGTATTCAGAGTTGAGAAATTATTGAAGCCAGTTAACTAGGCAAGGGTGTTACCATTTTGGGAGGGACTAATACAAAATAAGGATCATGGAAGAGGTTTCATATGAATGGAACATAGCCAAGCTATTTTTATCACCCTTATCCAGAGGGTTTCATGTGTTGCAGCCCAGGAAGCTGTGTCACATTGCTTTGGAAGTGCATTAGCTGCCTGTGGCAAATTCCAGGAGACGAAATCAAAGATGGTAAGTATTGGAAGACCAAAGAAAAAGAAATCTCCAATTACCAGAAAAAATAGAAAGCTTAGTTCCCTGTAGGTCTTAGAGACCTTGTAACTGTGTATTTTGTAATCCATGGAAAATTTCCTGTAGTCAGGCAGGCCAACAGACTCTGTGCTTTTAATTTGTAATTCCTAAGTAATCTTCAGCAACAAAAGCTAACAGGAAAAAGGTCAGAGGCTCTTTGGTCAGTAGCCAACATGTTGCCAAAGAGAAAGTGCTTCTTATTTGTGGGTGGGAGGGAGAAGGGGGGGAGCAAGTGAAGCAAATTGCTTCTAACCTAAGTTTGGCTGAATGAAGTTAGAATTGGTGACCCATAAAATATCTAATTAAATATTTTTTAAAAACTAAAAATATTAACATATAAGATTCAGCATCCTTTTAGACAAGGCTATACCTGATATAAAAATCTAAAAAAGTAACTTCATAAATAGAAGTAGGGTAAAAGTAAACCCTGCTCACTACCCCTCTAACCTTAAAGTATGGCCTGGGGAGAAACAGGAAAAGAAGAAAAAAGATAAAACCCTTTAGGTACAATTTATATTGTTCTGATGCCTGCATGGGCCAAATTGCAGCCACAAAACTTACTGGGTTCAATTTTTCAGTTAATTAACTTATTCTGATTTAACTAATCAGTTGTTGTGCATCATTAACCCAAAAGTGAAGTATCAGGCTAAGTATGTTTAGAATTGCAACTAACATGGCCATGATAAAAGCCATGCAGCATATAATCTGTTTTTTACACAGGAATTATTCTTTTAATGAATTACTCAAGCCTCTAAAACTGCTACCCAAAGCTTAAGTCATGGTTATTACTCTAGGTCCTGATTCAAAGTAAAATGCTCAACTTATTTCTTGGTCATTTTTCTAAATAAGCCATGTGTCAATATTTTACAACCCACATATGTTTTAATATAGGATGTGATGACAAGAAAACACATCTCTACTTCCTAACTAGACTATAACGTATTTTTAATAGGCAAACTAGGGACAAATAATGATTTTAAACCTTAGGTTTCCCAGACCTGCTCTAAACAGCAATATTTAATCCATTGGTTATGGTTTGTTTTGGGTATTTACTAGTAATTAGTTGTTTTCTAATATTTTTATTTTACATGTTGATACAATGTTGGCATCACCACATACTTGGTTATATGTTTTATGTCATGACTTTAATTTTGTTGCAGCACTGTGTACACATAAAGGTATAAAAATATTAGAAAGCAATGTGTGGTACCACACTATTTCAATATTATAGGCTATGACCACCATTGTTGTATTTTTATAATGCAGTAATAAGTATAATTTTTGGCAAATGTCAAATATAGGTATATTTGCCTCAATTAATAATTTAATTATCTATACAAAAATTGTAAAGAGTTTTGATTTAGGTTTTGGCAACAAGTGTGACCAATTTGGCAGGACCCAGACTAAAATTCAGAAGTAAGCACAACACTGCAATATTGTTGTAGGTGTGACCATATTAAAGACACAATGTTTTATAATATAACAGTGTATATTGTTTAGTTATCTGTGTAATAAATTGTTAAACAATCAATGCTGATATAAATAGGAAAAAAAATCTGGTTCCAGCTATGGTGGTGGGGTAATCATCAAAGATTATCACCCCTCCAAGGAAGACAGGGGTCTGGGTATGGTCTGTACAATAGACAGGAATAGAATTGTTAATTTTTGTTAATGTTTTGTTTGGGCATGCAGTGCCCTTATAATATTGTGTCACTCTGGTATTTGAAGGTTCACCACGCAGATGGCTTACCCCTCCAGTATGTAAACACGCTTAGCAGCCCTTTGCCTTAGTGAACCCCTTTATGTTTGCAAGGTAAACAATCACTGTAAATGTACAATGAACCCTTTAAGCAAAGTTGTTTGCCAAAAGGAGATCTACAGGCCATGATGTAAACAGGCTTTCATACATTTATGAGCCAGCTTGTCACACCTATTCAACTTCTTTGATTCAGGGAAGGGAAAAATGACTTAATTCCCAATTTAAAATCCTATATTTTTCAAAGTGGGTAATAGCATTTCCCTTAAAGGTTAACACACCAGAAGCTTAACAGAGACAAGTTAACACCGATGTTTTCTAGCTGAGGGCTTTGATTAAAAAAGAGAGACACCAACTTTATTGGTTATATATTTCAAAATTGTTTATAATATAATTTAAGGAAAGTTCCACTTTCCTTATCACCCACCATTTTTGGGAGGTAGTGAAAAGAATCAAATTAAAAGCTGGTAAATGCCCATGATATCATTTCCCCAAGGTTTGTACCAGGAAAGGGACATGTCTTTGCAGGTATCCAACAACAATTCAAGATCCTCAGAGGAGACAAGCCAAAACTGGCTCACAGCACAATGTAACTGGCAGCATTTTTCCTCCACTGCAGCAGCCTTAATATTCTGACAGTTGGTTTGGTGAGGCACCTGGCCACTCCAAACTAAATACAGACTCTCTACTTCCAGTATTTGACTGTCATGTGGAGGAAACAAATGGACTTTTACAGAACTCCAAATGGCACCAGTCTGCTATAAGAACACGTTTTTGTGCACGGATATTGTCCCCGGATCAGTATGATCTCATTCTCAGATGGCAGTATATCAAATTTGGGGAAGACTAGTAAACTTGATACTGTCCCATGTTTTGGTTATCACCTAGACTAGTGGTGTCAGTTTATATATTTGAAAAAGATATGTACTTAAAAGGAATCCCAATGGTTAAATCAGTTCCCCTGCTCCAGTAGTGTAATCAAGGGAACCAACCCCTAATAAGCCCTATCAAGTTATAAAAAACATAATAGGCAGAAGTGATCCTTGGCTATGAGCTAGTGAATGTAACCATGTCACCTTTGGTAAACTGGGAAAAGGTCTTTCCACTAATCAACAACTCTGGGATGGGAGGTGGCTAAACCTATACCCGGAGTGTTAACATAACAGGAATGTGCATAAATTGAATGTAATTGATTAAGTTGGCATATTGGATTAATTCAATTCTTGTAAATACATCGTGGTGGCTTCTTTTCCTCTCACTTATCCTACCTTGTGGATAGGATTATTGCTCGTCAGCAACGAGTACAGTATGGCATGAATCCTTTGTTCTGCATATGGTAAATATGTTAGCACCATCACTAATATCCTCTAATTTTTAAAATCAAGAAGGGTCCCATTAAGGATTTGCAGTTGCTAATTTGTATTGTTGACACTGTTTTCGAGAACATGGAACAGGAAAAGACATCTGTTTAAATGCCTGTCAAAAATCATCATTAGGAGCAATTGGAGACATGTGGTTTGACACCGCCCTAATCAAGACTCATTTAATTAAAGTTGCATTGTGGAAAAATCCTTGTCTTATCCAGCGACTCTGCCTGCATTTGATCCAGATAAGGATATGTTCAACCAGTTGGCAGTTGCCCACATAGTAGGTCACCTTGAAGACAATATCTACAAGGAATGCTTCAACGTTCTGCCTCTGGTAGTTGATCACCAAATGACCCAAACATGGAAAATTCCACCAGTGTCGTATTGCTCTGAAAAGGGGCATCAGTACATTTTCAGGTATAATAGGTTTGAGATGGACACCATTGTGTGACCAAAAGGGTACCAACAGAACCAGCTGTCATGTTCTATCAGGCTAAGTAAGAGGCTCTTATGGAAAGGGTGATCTACAGGGAGACTACCAATATTGCGCAGTGACCTACCATCATAGGTACTTTATGGTAAATTTGAGTGTAAGGTTGCAAACTCAAAATTGTTATACCCCAAAAGCACATATTGACTGAGCATGTGGCAATTCCCCCTGTATCTGTTATCTGCATTGTGTTGTGTTATGTGAAAATCAGGAGTTTAAACAAAGGGTAAGGCCCTAAATTTATGTGAGAAGGTTTATTAACGATCACCTTATCAAGCAGAGGAGAGAAGGGGAAGACTTGTAGCGTATAGGTATTTGCTAAGTAAGGGATAGGCATAGGCATAAGTTAAGGCAGCAAAGCAATGTGCCTACAGGCTGAGGCCTGTAAGGCAATAGTTTAGCTAAGCTAGGCATAAGGCTCAATAGCCTTCATATACACACTTAACCAGGAGTAACCCCGGATCAGAAAATGCTGTAGTGACTAAACTGCTAATAGGCAACCACAACATTTTAGTTTATAACAGATTGGGATATTTTAAGTTGGGGACAACCACAGATGTCTGACCATAACAGTGCCATAGTAACAGACATATATTCTAATATGCTGAGGTAAAGAGGCTTAGTAACCTATGGGAGAAGGGCACCCCAGCATTAGTAGGGTAAGGCAATACAAATAAGAAAAAAGGGCAGAAACCCCTATTGCAGTATGCATTGGTATAGTGGCATCAGCACACCACATTATAAAGTTGTCTTCCAGCCTGTGTGCTTAGGAGAGGGGAAGGGATGTAGCTCCTGAGTGGTGCCAGGATGAGGAAGATAATGGCTAACGTTTCATGAGGGTGAGAGTATATGGCTATTCAGATGTACAGTCAATACTATTTCTACCTACCCTGCTGCACTGCAGTATTTGTGACTGCTGACTATATTAATAAAACTATTACAAATACAAAAGGTTTTTTCCCTAAGTCTGGGTGATAGAAACCCTGACATGCCCGGTTGCAACTGAGCAGTAATTCCAATACAGGATCTGATCTTGCAACAAGAACCTATCAAACCTCATAGTGGTAACTGGGAATTCTTAGGAAATCAATATAATTAATACAGAATCCATAGGTCAGGCAACATGTGCAAGCTCCATTTCTTGGATTCTTTATTCCATTTCAGAAGTATCACATGAAAACACTTGCTGATTACGATCATCCAAACTAATTACAGCAAAGCAGGTACTGTGTTGGCACAAAAATCAGCAGTTAATGAAATACTTCTGAATGTTGGAGATAACTAATACTGACATATAACTGGCTGAGTTGTCTCTTGTTCCACCTATTGCAATGTTTTCCAGTTTTGTTTATGCCTGATCTACAAGAGGTTGGACAGCATCAGTATTTTGGCTGTGGACATACATCCTCGCTGCAACTAATTTTTCTAGAGAATCTTCTCATGCCTATGAAGTTATGAATTGAGTAGCTAGTCTGTGCACAAGTTTTACAATTGTTTGATTCATACACTTCTGAGGGAGCTGGTAGCAACCTCTATATTTAAGTTGCCTAACTTAAAAAAAATTAAGTACTAACACCACTGTTATTTGCAGCGGTGTTTGAAGCAGGGATAAAGCCTTGGGACTAGAAATGCCTTTCACTTGTCCCATAAGTCAGGCTTAGTTGAGTTATGAACTTTTAAAAAATTACTATTCCCCTTCTATTGCTTATGCTGATCAGGTAATATTTGGCAGCATGCAATTACTAATTTGACATATGAACAGTCTAAAGAACCAGGCTCATACTGCCAATGCAGCAGCACCACCACACTACTGGGAATGCCTGGGAGCTGTTCGAGCAGCTGTAGCGGAGGGGAAGGCAGGGCTGCACCTGGCTTCCCCCAATCCAGCAAGTAGGCCCTAGCAACCCATCCCCAACCCTCTGTTAACAGGCTTTTCCTGTTGCCAAGCCAATGTAGTTAGTTCAAATTGTAGAAGTGCTACAATTTCAGGGTTCAAATCCTGCTGATTGTGGGGTTTTTACTGTTACACAGAGGAAAAAGATGAACACAAATTCTATTAAAAAGATTGAAGAAATTTCAACCTGAATGTTGTGTTTTTGTATGTGGAGTAAAGTACTCAAAAGATTAAGAAATGCCAGATTTAAGGATGCCAGTACCATCTTAATTCATCTCCCTAGTGCTTATACATTATGCTATAGCCTTTAACCATATGCTGCCTGGTTTTTTTGGCATAGATCCCCTGCCTGCTTCATTGCTCAGGATGGGCACAAAAGGAGTGGAATTAAAGTTACATGTACAGCCTTAAATTTGGCATTTTGTAATTTTAGACTGTCGAGTTGTGCACTCAAATAACATTTTAATGTAGGTTTTGTTCTGTTTGTTTTTCAAGGTGGTGGCTTAACAGTGAATTGGCCAAATTCAGCGGTGGGTCCCAGAGGAGTCTGGAGGGATTCCAAGTTGGTAAAATTTACGCATTCTTCTGAGTGCCTCAATATTTGTTCTCCCACAGATTTATTTGTTCCTCCTACTCCTTATCTCTAAATTTGGCCCATTGAGTGCCACATCAATGAGTCCAAGGAAGTGTGACTGATCTACTGAGGGGCCAAAAGAGAGTAGCAAGAAAAGCAGCTAACTGAAGGATAAAAGAATGTGTTGTCGACCCTACTCTTTAATTTACACATTTTTCTGGTTCCTGAGCATCTCAGCATTTGTCTAGACAAAGTTACTGCACAGCAAACTGGGGTGTAAAGCTACGCTGCAACTTTTGCTGGCTGCCTCCATACTCACTGCTACAAATGGCATGTGCAGATCGATGTAAATTCTAACACTGACCAATATTGGACGTCACCTACAAATGGAATTATTGTTGAAAATAGCAACAAGAACTGAGACTTGCTCTGAAATGTCTACCGGAATGGTTATCGGTTCTGAAAGCTCCTTGGAACTAATCATATGTTAATGGGATTTCTTTGTTCACATAAGAGCATGGACCATAAGATCTAAATTGCGACTATGTAGGACAAGTCTCCTCCGGAGCAAAGTGGAGGCTGCAGCTCCACTGTCTGCCACCACACCAACTCTGTTGTTTCCTGTGCTAGAATCCCTCCCTCTGCTGGTGTCAACACGGGGGACATGATGGGATTGTGCTAGGGGAAGTCTCAATATTGATGCAAAATTAACATTGTTTTAATTTACTCTTTATAGCATTAGGTGTTCAGATTTAATAACAGTGGAGACAAGTTTAAGAACTATTTCTCTGTACTTGTAGATAGACCGTGCTTGGAGATTAGCAGCTTATATTTGTTTTCAGTTGGTCTTATTTAATAACATTCAGCATAATTAAAGAAATTTAGAAAAATTTCCACCTTTTCCTAATGTGACAAGCCCAAGAAGCTTCAAGGAGATATCTTTATTTATAACCCTCAAGTGCAATTGCAGACTCAAATGCAGTTTTATAACTTCCATATTGTTCCACATAGCTTATTTCATGTAATGTTAGTTATTGTATCGAGTGTTTGGGATGAGTTTTTACTTGGGAGTAAAGCTACTTTTGATTGATAAAAAGGCAAACATCCAAACAAGAGAGAGTCCCTCAAAAGAGGCAGCCTTCTCCCCATTGTTAAGGACTATGGGACTATTGTTTTTCCTAGGATTTCAAACAGAAGCGTTAGAAGGCATATCTAGCATATGTGGTTGAGACAGTATCTGAAGACTATCTAAGCTAAAGACAAATTTAAAAAAAGACTTTATATAAAGTAAGGATAGTTGGATTTAAAAACAGAATTTCAACTCCTATTGAACCCTAATAAAAATAAATGAATCTCTCAAATGATGGGCTAAATAAGAGTTCAGAATTGTAAGGGATGTTGAGACAGTTCTACCCACAAGAAGACTGACAAATACCACCGTTGCATGTGCAAAGAGATTACATTTTCATGAGCTGATATTACCAGGACTATTCCATGACAGTTTTAAACCAATGAAAGCGTGACAGCAACAAATATTTAAATCCAGCCAAGCCTGAAGGAGTGTGTCTTTCACTGCCCTCCAGTCAAGCTATGGAAGGAGTAGAGTATAAATCTCTGAATTAAGCAAGCAGCACACTACTCCCATCTCTTCACTTCCAGCTGCATTCCCCTTTCACTTTTATCTCAGCCTATTCATCTAATCTCTTTCAAGCAAGCAAACAGTGACAAGACAAAGAAGCCACAATAAAGTATTAATCAGCAGCCACAAATTAGGTTGCCATCACCCTTTAGGATGGGCTGCACCAGGTGTGTGTAGCCATTCATTGACCTCCACAGATGAAGTTATGCCCTGCTTTTGCAGTGTTACTTTTCCACAGGCTTTCAGAGCCCATGGCACAGGTCTAGCCTTTGGGAATGGCCTTGCCCAACACAACCAGCCTCACTATTATGCCCATTACCAAACTCACGTCTGTAGTAAATACAGATTTGTATTTTTCTTTCTATTTCCCCCCACTGTCAGTCATGTGGTGTACCACACTCCAATCCAATTTAAGCTCATATAGTCAGTTTCTGCCCATCAGTGAGGGGCCATTTCCTTCAATTACAAATTAAATTAACAATTAACAGATACATTTATAAGTTACAGCGACAGGGAATCTTTATATAATTCTATAAAAAGAATCACCACAGGAAGCATTTTTTGCACACCCCTTCAGAAACCGCAGACTTGGCCGCTCCTGTATCTATTTCCATTTTCAATATTACATCATTTACATTAAGATAACATGGGGGAAGGGGACAAGAGGACAAGATGTCTGTTCATTTTCCATCATGTACTATCTCACACATCCTTTCATCCAGAGCTCTGAAGCAGGTTGTCCCAACTCCTCCAGTCATGTAACTTGTTTGGTGGCTCTATGTGTAGGCACTGAGAGCTTCCTCTTGGCATATCCTTTGGTGTACTACAGTGCACTGTGGCAAGCCTGGCGTGGCATCTCCTCTTACTGCACTTTTACTCCCGTATATTAAAGCAATACTGCTCCCGATAGTGTGATGTCCCTAAACAGCAGAAACACAGCTCCCTTCATAATCCAAAGAGACATACTGATCTGTGTAACCATCCTTTTCGCTTGCCTGCTGATGCCTTTTTTCCCCAGACACACCACAGTGAGAGAGGTCAGTTTATTTTCAAATTTTGGCACCTCTCTGTGGATTTAAAGAGCAGTGTGAACAGTTCCCTCTAGTGGCACTTCCTTGTTGTATGTAACATTCAGTCACCACTTAATTCAGGGCAATTTACTTCAAAAGACAAATTGGTTTAGTTTACTGCACAGGACGACCAGGTTCTTGGGGTAAAGAAGTTTATTTTTTTAAAAGCACAGTACATGTGGTTTTAGCCATCAGGGTTAGGAAGACAACCCTTTATTTATTAGTCTCTAACATCTTTATGAAAGCACCGCTTAAATCTAAGTATGTTGCAAAACCCTCCCTCTTCCATTAAATTGGAGAGAGTCCATATTGCCACGTGTAGCCATTTTATATATGTACTCTTAAAATAGCCCATCCTTCTCACTAGTTGTTACATTCACAGCATATAAACAGATGTTAGATAAACATAAAATACCATTTCTGGAAGGTTACAACATAAAGGTTATTTCTTAAGATCCGGAGCCTTAACATACATGAATCAAAGAGAGAGAAAAGCAGGCTGCTCCTAAGGCAGAGGCACATAACTCCCTACATCTTGCTTCAGGGTGGCTCTTCTTGTGCCAGGAAACTCCTTTACAAACTTAAATTGTTACCTTATAAAATTTAAGAATTGTCAGTACACTACAGAATTAGATTTAAAGTTTCAATATCCCACTCAAATTATCACAAGGAAACATAAGTAAAGTACAGTTTTAAAATAAGTAACAGCTTCTCCTGTTAAACAGGAAAATGGTTTAGATGATGTATTCCTGGAAAGGACACATACGCTAACCTTGATAAAGAAAGATTTAATTTGAATTTAAAAATATTCATTTGAGCTCCTTGAATGGCTTCTTTCAAGAAACTGAATTTAAATATTTTCTTTGGTTTCATAAGGATTAGTTAAGATCACTCACCTTTGACTATTTATAAACTGTTCCAGTTATCCATGTTACCTGAAACAGGACTTTCCAACCATTAAACAAGATTCCTTTACCCATCCATAACCTTTTGCATTCTCTATAACACAATAAACTAGGACTTACTACTAATTTTGAAAATAAAATACCTTTGACCTTGATTCATTTAGAAAGGAGTGCCCCCATCACAGGTAGGCCCAATCAAAAGGGTAATCTATGTTAAAAGCTCTCTACAGAGAGACATACAGGAGATTATAACAGAAGTAACCAGGTTTTATTACACGTGTTTTGTTAAATTTCTTTCTTTAAGAAGATAGTCCTATTTAGTTGTGATGATTTTACCTGTGGCATCTAAGGCATGGCAAAGATCTCCAAGTATCAGAGGGGTAGCCGTGTTAGTCTGAATCTGTAAAAAGCAACAGAGGGTCCTGTGGCACCTTTAAGACTAACAGAAGTATTGGGAGCATAAGCTTTCGTGGGTAAGAACCTCACTTCTTCATACGCAAAAGGTCTTGCATCTGAAGAAGTGAGGTTCTTACCCACGAAAGCTTATGCTCCCAATACTTCTGTTAGTCTTAAAGGTGCCACAGGACCCTCTGTTGCTTTTTAAAGATCTCCAACTAAGTAGGAGTCAAATCCCTCAAAGGGCATTGAGAGACAGTTAAGATTAGAGAAACAAATGTTAGGCCACGTTTATAGATTTTCATTGATTTTTGGGATAAAATTTGGCATTCAACAGCCTTTCTACCCTACAGGGCATGATGGGAAGTGGAATGTGCGGGGCCTCTGTTATACCTGATTTTTAGTGGAATGAGGTCCTTGAAGGGTTGAAGAAAAAAAAAATTTATCAAGGAGCTGTGCATGGTCCCTTCACAGATCTCCCCCTGAGTTTAAAGTGAAAGCTATCAAAGTAGTCCAGGCAATAGTGACTCTTGGAAAAACAAACAAAACCCTAAAATCTAGCAGTCAGTATTGCCTCACAGTGGCGTACGAGTAGTTGTTGGAATTAGTGGGAGATAGGAGTCACACAAGTAACTAAATCAGTGGTTCCCAAATTGGGGTTCGTGAAATGTTACAGGGGGTTCTCGGGAAAAATTCCTTAATGGCAGACAGAGCTTTCCCTAGGGACCCCGGACAGCACGGGGCCAGCAGCCTGGAGCCCCTGGACTTCCAAGAGCTAAGCAGATCAAAGCAAGTGTATCTATCATACTGAGGAGATTTAAAGTTCAAGACTCCTTATAAGAAATGGAAAGGGAGGTGGATATTTTTTGTTGTTTTTAAAATTAAATAGGCAGGTAGTATTGTTTTTAAAATTATTATGAAGAACAAGTTTAAGTTTTGTTGTAACGTGTGTTATTTGCCTGGACTACTCAAGAACTG